AGATGTGATTTTTTGTGAGTTTGTGTTTGCTGATAGCTTTGAGAAATGGTTTTGGAATGTTTGGTATTGTTTGAGGGATTTTTGGGGGATTGTGAAGCTGTGTGAAGATTGTGGGATTTTGGACTTTGAAGAAATCATTTTAAGAAATGATTTTGGAATTCTTCAGTCTTCTTCAAGCTTCAAAACTTGATTCTAGAATGTTTAGTCTTCGTAGTTTCAAGAAATGATGTTTAAGTTTATCTCATTTGTTAAGAGCTTCAAATATCTCTAAAATTATTTAATCCTCATTATGCCTTCATGAAACGTTTCTAAAATCGTATAATCCGTCCATGACTTAAAGAAGTCATTTTTAAAATCCTTTTCATTTAATAGCTTCAAGAATTATTTCTTAAAATTATATAACATCTATATATACCTTCTAAACAATGAAATATACGTAAAATGTGACTTACTGTTCCGTAGTCAATAGATCCCCAAATTTCCAGTTCAACTGCGTTCCCTCTGTAGTTCATATTTTGAAAATTCCTTCCACCTGGAACAAAGAGAGGCCGTATTATTAAAAAATAATATGTTCATCGTACGAATTTCATTCGGTGATAGAGAACAAAGGTGAAGTTCCAGGGCAGTGTAATTGTTAAAACAATTACAAACACAGCACGGGGTAATACCTCTCGTTTCTGAAGTACAATATAGTCATTGTGTAAATTTCATTCGATGATATCGAGCGAGCAAAGTTTCAGGCACGTGTAATCCCTCTTCACGCGCTGAAATAATTACAAACACTGCGCGAGGGACGATTCCTCTCGTTTCTGAAGTATAATATAGACATTCAACGAATTTCGATCGATGACGTCAAATAAAATAAAGTTTCGTAATTGCTCTCCGTGCGCTGGGATAATTATAAACACTAGTATCGAGTTAATCCCTCCAGAGTGTAATACAATTACCCTACAAATTTCATTCGATTGCATCAACTAAATTAAAATTTCCAATCCATGGATATTTAAAAGTATACGATCTCTTCTTCATACTGTAATCATACTAAGTTGTAATATAGTTATATTAATAATTCTTATAAACACTCGTTAGTTTTTCATTTATTATGAAAATTAATTTTCAGTGTGTCAAAATAATATTTATTTATTACGATTACAATAAACTACAATATAATTATATCAACAATTATTATGAACGTAGTTTTAATTAAACAAGTTTTAATTCTCCGCTCACTATTCTAATCAACCCTTTCTCTCACTCTTTCGCTACCCTCTATAAAACAATTTATTATCCTCTATCACTTCCCCAACAGTCAACCACAAACCAAAAAAATTCTCTCACTATAAACCTACATCCACTACAAAAATTAAATATCCACAATCAAAAGACAATACCAGATTTCAACTAAAAAGCCGCAAATACCCCTAAATTCAGTCTCATACCTCAGCAAAATCTCTCAAACTACCCTTTCTCCAAAAAATTCCACAAAAACGACCAACAACAATCCACAATCTCTGTCCTTCCTCGCACCCTAAAAAAATACAACACAAGCACCTCTCGCAGACAGGTATCTAAATAATCTTATAATATTCATCTATTCTTGCCGCGATTTGCATGTTCCGCGTCGCGCGATCGTGTCACACGTGTTTACCCGGCGCGAGGTGAATTACACGGCCCTTTATGAAAGGCAATATACCGCCGACGGCGGCCAGAAACTTTTCATTTTCCGTAAGTGTACGCGCGCGGAGGGGGTGAGCTTTTTTCGCGCGTCCCCTCGGTATAACCATAAAAGACAAGGCAACGGAGGAAGAGAGAGGGGAAGATTATGGGGAACTTGGTGAAACTCGGCCACTCCCCGTGATTGCGGCACCGCGGCATCCTTTTCCATGGAGTTCCCCGTGTTATTTACGTCCCCGCAGTTTTCGGCCTCCCTTCCCACTTATCATCCCCCGCGAACAGCGGCGGGACTCAGGTGAAAACTCGTCTGAACTTCTCGGTCCCTCGTGCTTTCTGTCTCGTGGGATTGGTTAAATGGGAGGCTGATGTTTTTCTGACTGTTTAGAATTGTTGCTGGTCACTGGAAATTGTTTTTAGTTTGATGATTTTTAATTGTTTCGTGGGATTGTAGGGGTAGGTTGGAGGAACGTTGATGTATTTCTGATTAATCCTTTGTCATTGCATTGTGTGTATTGATGCTCTGATTTAGGGGTATATTTGAAATTAGGGGTTTAGGTTATATTTATGTAATATTTTGTTATTATACTTTATTATCGAATGTAAATTGTATTGTAAATTGACACAGATAATTGTTTTATATTCTTTTGGTCGTTTAGAATTGCTGCTGGTCTCTGGAAATTGTTTTTATTATTTGTTTGATGGTTTTTTATTATTTGTTTGAATTATAGTAATTTGAAAGAAAGCTATAGAACCAACAGAGCACATTGCATTTCAAACAACAATAAACAATGAGCATCCTAAACAACTCTAAATGCTCTGATTAACATTTGCTCTTCAATAGAGTACGGTGCGCGCTTTTTGGTAACCTGCGAATATGAATATTTGAATGTTCGCCGAGCGAATTTCCATGAAAAAATAAGTCGAAAAGGTGGAATGAAATTCTCTCGTACGGGAGTTCGTTTCCGAGATAATCGACTTTGAAAGTTTGACACGTGTGCATTGGAAATTTGAAAGAAGTGGAAATGGTAAGTTATGATCAGACAAATTAGATTTCTATCGAACATCGTGAGCGACCGATAAATTTTCAAACGTGGTTATCTCCGAAACGAAATGTCACGTGAAACAAATATTATTCTATATTTTTTACTTAGTTCCTCGTATAAAATAATTCCCGCGAAATAATTCCTCCGATGTTGCCAGGGAAATATAAATATTAAAGCACTACTTCTATAGAAATATATTTTTACGCGGGATAAACATGCCGAGTTTTTACTCGTATTTAAATTACTGTAATTTCCAACCCCTTCCCTTCTAATATGGACTCAGGCTCGCCGTGAAAATTTAATAAATATGAATATTATTCGCGACTACGGGAAATGAAACAATTTTTCCCACAGACGGATTCTAGTTTTCTTATCTTGGAATAATTAATACTTTATGAATATTCAATATTGAAAGTTATTTCGGAAATAAATAGTTTTATTTAAATATTATAATGAATATCTTATAAAATTGAGAAAAATGTGCTGTTATAATATTTATAAGGATTAATTTAAACTGAACATGGATGTAGAGGAATTTTCTGTATTCAATGAATTATTAACTCGTTGTCATATGATTTATTCCAAAACTGAACTTGATGAAACTGCTTTACCGTTAACAATAATTAGGAGCAGAAAAGAATTTGATACTTATTTTATGTTTACGTCTGCTTCAGGGGTTAACGATTGAAAAGCAGTACTCAATTTATGTTATAAAATAGTAAATAACATGTAGATTTATCAAATTTCGTTTAAAATTTCTGTTATGAGTCTGACACATGCAACTATGTAAAACCATATTAAACAAAAACTATATAAAACTATGTAAAATTATATGAAACCATATAACACTATGTACAACTATATAAAACTATCTAAACCCATATTAAAATATATAAAACTATATTAAACTAACCAAAATAAACTATACAAAATTGAATAAAGCGCGTCCCCTAATTTCCTCATTTTCCTCTTAACATCATAAAACAGGGGACCAATGACAAAGTGATTTTTGGTGGTGCAGTTATAAAGTAAATCGTAAGTTAAGGGGTTACGAGTTCAGGCATGTTACAACTGCATCTACTCGTTCAAGTTCCTGTATAATTCCGTAATATTCTGTCAACACGCCTCTACAAACCGATCGCAACGTGTACCAGCCTCTCCTCGCGAGGAAACAATCACGGTCCTCGCCTCAAACGACCGCCTCCTCGACCCCTAATCAGCTAATTGACCGAACGTGTTTTCTGCTCGTGATTTTAACCCCCGTTACTCGTCTTCCCGCGTTGATGATGCTACGAGATGGGACACTTCTACGCACGAACACCGTCTAATTAATAACTGGGGCTGTTACGTCGATGTACCTTGTGTTCTGGAGTTATTTTCGGTGATAGACTGTTCTCGGTTTGTCTTGCAGCGATAACGTATCGTTTGATAGCCTTTTTTAATAACGAGTATCTTAAGATTAAGATTTCCATGGGAAGCTGATAATGTTTTACATCACCTTCCTTGAAATGAGCTTTGTATATTGTGACAGTGTTCTATGAATCGAGGTGAAGTGTTGAAGTCTTTTAAGATTATGTATTTTATTTTTTGTGTTCTTAATTATGTTGTTGAAGATTAAGTTAATTAGATTCATCTGGAAAATTCGTCAGTGACTATTTTAATTTCCATAATCTCAAACTTTATTAAATACTTCACTATTTTAATTATTCTTTATTTCATTCCTCCAATCATTGTAACACATCAAAAGCATTAATACATCAGCGCACAAAAATTCATTGAGTTCACAACGGTTTACCAATATACAAAAATTCATTTAATATCTTATGAATTTCCGTCGCTATTACAGCGACATAAAGTGCCATTTTTGACTGAAAAGTCGTCACATAATAATCTGTCCAGGAATTCACAGCGACGATACGGTATCATCGCCCTTCCGTTCGAACGGACCGCCACAAAGCAGCGGTATCGGTGTGAAAGGTGTTTGTCGGGTGCAGCAGGAAAGATTCGACGGAAGAGGAAAATACTAGGGGACTGTGCCAAGCGATGGTTTCAGGGTTTGTGGTATCGTACCACTTTCTTGACCGTCCAGACCGCGGTCACGCTTGTCGATTCCACGATTTCGGACGAAAAGCTCTACATCGTCGCAGACTTCGACTCATCCGAGACTTTGTCTCCTCGACACGACGAATTTGTCCCAGTGAACTTGTTTGGAACTCGAGGTTTCGAGTAACGTCCCTCTGGATACTAGGAAATCGAAAATTCAACCCCTAAACGATTGATAGCAGTGCTCAATTATAATATTAAATTATAATATTGATTTATTGTTTGTTTTGTGGGGCTTTTGTAATTGTGATTGCAATATTAATTTATAATTTCTCTTATTATCTTTCTGGAGACTTTGGTAATCGTGATTGTAATATTAATTGATAGATTCTCTTGCTGTTTTTTGGAGACTTTTATGATTATAATTTTAATATTATTTTATAGTTTGTTTTCTGCATATATGTAATGTTAATTTATAGTTTCTTTTCTATAGACTTTTGTAATTGTAATTGCAGGATTAATTTATACTTTCTCTGGCTATCTTTTTAGAGACTTCTATGCTTGCAATTATAATATTAATTTATAGTTTCTTTTCTAGAGACGTTACAATAGTAATTGCAATATTCATTTACAATTTCTCTGCTCAAATTGAAAATAGAGAAAAAAGAATTCATCAAAATTATAAAACAAAAGTTATTTCTATTAACTTCTATAATCGCTTCGAACAGGTTCTGATGGTTTTCAATGAAATTTAGAATGCACCGAACAAGTT